ATTTCCTGTGTCTTTTATCTGACGTTCCCATACATTCATTAAATAACATATGGCAATGCCCAGCTTATATATTTCAATAAATTTATTTTAGTTTTTCACTGACTCTTTTAAGTCAGAACATGATTTGACCTGTTTAAAACAAAATACATTTAATATTGAATATACCAAATAAACTTTTTTATAGTCCTCATTATTGTGACTTATGGCGACCTTATTTCCTCTGTCTTTTATCTGGCTCACCTATATATTTTTAAATCAATATGACAATACTAGACTTAAAAGTTGTAATAAGTTAAGTTTTGTTTGACTCTTTGAAGTCAGAACATGATTTAACCTGTTAAAGTCAGTTTACAGAACAAAATTTCCAATCAAAACTGGTCTTTTCCTCTAAGCCCCCCCTCCTAATCTGAATCTGCTACTGTTGAGTTAATTAATTGATAAGTTTGTTTAGAAACAATTCAGTCAAATGGTTTTTAAAATAATATTTTTTATAACCAAAAGTTCCATATGTTAACTTAACAGAAAAAAAAGTCATGAAAATGCAGAAATAGAATAAAATTTTAAGATAATTTGATGAAATTTGTAAACAAAATACATTTGAATATTAAATATACCAAAAAAACTTTTTTATAGTCCTCATTATTGTGACTTTATTATTGGGTGTCTTTTATCTGATTTTCCCATACATTCTTAAATGCATATGACAATTCCAGACTTGAAAGTTGCAATAATTAGTAAAAGTATAGTTTTTGACTGACTCTTTGAAGTCAGAACATAATGTGACTTGTTCAAGTCAGTTTGCACAACAGGATTTACCTCAATGAAATATTAAGATATCAAATATATACCAAATAAACTGCATATTTTGGCGTTAATATTGATTCACTTATAGGGTCTTTACATCGGCACTAAACACATTTATTTAAAAACCAGTTGTTGGCATGACACGGGTTATGTTCTTCTCATATATGTTATGATGGTATGATACTAAACCTCTAACGGGAAGGATTGTGCCTGATATTCATATGATGAAGACATAATCTTTCAATCAGTTTAATTGAGGTCTGGAGCTGGCATGTCAGTTAACTGCTAGTAGTCTGTTGTTATTTATGTATTATTGTCATTTTGTTTATTTTCTTTGGTTACATCTTCTGACATCAGACTCGGACTTCTCTTGAACTGAATTTTAATGTGCGTATTGTTATGCGTTTACTTTTCTACATTGGCTAGAGGTATAGGGGGAGGGTTGAGATCTCATAAACATGTTTAACCCCGCCGCATTTTTGCGCCTGTCCCAAGTCAGGAGCCTCTAGCCTTTGTTAGTCTTGTATTATTTTTAATTTTAGTTTCTTGTGTACAATTTGGAGATTAGTATGGCGTTCATTATCACTGAACTAGTATATATATTTGTTTAGGGGCCAGCTGAAGGACGCCTCCGGGTGCGGGAATTTCTCGCTGCATTGAAGACCTGTTGGTGGCCTTCTGCTGTTGTCTGTTCTGTGGTCGGGTTGTTGTCTCTTTGACACATTCCCCATTTCCATTCTCAATTTTATTTTATATAGTTCTAAAAATTGTGACTTAATATTTGTGATCTTTTTTCCTACTTGTATCCATACATTCTAACAATCACATCACAATCATGACAATGCCCGACTGTTACAGTTGCAATCCATTTAGTGTTTGACAGACTCTTATAAGTCAGAACATGATTTGACCTGCTTGAGTCAGTTTACAGAACACAATTTCCAATCAAAGCTATGTGTTCTTCCTCTTAGTCCCCTTCTGAATCTGCCACTGTTGAGTTTATTAATTGATAAGTTTTAAGAAACAATTAAGTCAAATGGTTATTTATCTTAGAGGATCTTGCATATATTTCGTGTGTATTTTATATGACTTCTCCATACATATCATTAATATCATATGGCATTGGCAATGCCTGACTTAAAAATTTCAATAAATTTAGTTTTTGACTGATTTTTTAAAGTCAGAACATGATTTGACCTGTTTAAGTCAATTTGTCAGAACATAATTTGACCTGTTCAAGTCAGTTTGCAGAACAAAATTTCCAATTAAAGCTAGGTGTACTTCCTTTAAGCCCTGCTTCTGAATCTACCATTTTTGAGTTTATTATTTGATAATTTTTTAGAAACAATTAAGTCAAATGGTTATTTATTTTAGGGGATCTTACATATATTTCCTATGTCTTTTATCTGACGTTCTCATACATTCATTAATATCATATGGTAGTGTCCAACTTCAAAATTTCAATAAACTTAGTTTTGGACTGACTGTTTTAAGTCAGAACATGATTTGACCTGTTTAAAACAAAATACATTTAATATTGAATATACCAAATAAACTTTTTTATAGTCCTCATTATTGTGACTTTAGGGGACCTTATTTCCTCTGTCTTTTATCTGGCTTTCCCATACATTTTTAAATCAATACGACAATACTAGACTTAAAAGTTGAAATAAGTTTAGTTTTGTTTGACTCTTTGAAAGCAGAACATGATTTGACCTGTTAAAGTCAGCTTACAGAACAAAATTTCCAATCAAAGCTAGGTGTTCTTCTTCTAAGCCCCCCCCCCCCCCCTAAATATGAAACTGCTACTGTTGAGTTAATTAATTGATAATTTTTTTAGAAACAATTCAGCCAAATGGTTATTAAAATATTATTTTTTTTGGCAACCACAAGTTCTATGTGTAAACTTAACAGAAAAGAAAAGTCATGAAAATACAGAAATAAAATAAAATTTTAAGATAATTTGATGAAAATCTTTAAAAACAGAATGCATTTGATATTGAATATACCAAATAAACTTTTTTATAGTCCTCATTATTGTGACGTAAGGGGACCTTATTTCATCTGGCTTTTATCTGGCTTTCCTATACATTTTAAAATCAATATGAAAATCCTAAGACTTAAAAGTTGAAATAAGTTTAGTTTTGTTTGACTCTTTGAAGTCAGAACATGATTTGACCTGTTAAAGTCAGTTTACAGAACAAAATTTCCAATCAAAACTAGGTCTTCTTCCTCTAAGCCCCCCCCCCCCCCCTTTTTCCCTTTATCTGAATCTGCTACTGTTGAGTTAATTAATCATGTTAATTGATAAGTTTTTTTAGAAACAATTCAGTCAAATGGTCTTTAAAATAATATTTTTTACAACCAAAAGTTCCATGTGTTAACTTAACAGAAAAGAAAAAGTCATGAAAATACAGAAATAGAATAAAATTTTAAGATAATTTGATGAAACTTGTAAACAAAATACATTTGAATATTACATATACCAAACAAACTTTTTTATAGTCCTCATTATTGTGACTTTATTATTGGGTGTCTTTTATCTGTTTTTCCCATACATTCTTAAATGCATATGACAATTCCAGACTTAGAAGTTGCAATAATTAGTTAAAGTATAGTTTTTGACTGACTCTTTGAAGTCAAAACATAATTTGACCTGTTTAAAACAAAATACATTTAAATATTTAATATACCAAATAAACTTTTTTATATAATCCTCATTATTGTGACTTTAGGGGACCTTATTTCCTCTGTTTTTTATCTGGCTCTCCCATACATTTTAAATCAATATGACAATACTAGACTTAAAAGTAGTAATAAGTTTATTTTTGACTGACTCTTTGAGGTCAGAACATGATTTGACCTGTTAAAGTCAGTTTACAGAACAAAATTTCCAATCAAAGCTAGGTGTACTTCCTTCAATCGAAGAAAGTCCTTGCTTTCAGACTGCTTCTGAATCTGCCATTTTCGAGTTTATTATTTGATAAGTTTTTAGAAACAATTAAGTCAAATGGTTATTTATATTAGGGGATCTTAACATATATTTCCTGTGTCTTTTATCTGACGTTCCCATACATTCATTTAATATCATGTCAATGCCCGGCTTAAATATTTCAATAAATTTATTTTAGTTTTGGACTGACTCTTTTAAGTCAGAACATGATTTGACCTGTTTAAAACAAAATACATTTAATATTGAATATACCAAATAAACTTTTTTATAGTCCTCATTATTGTGACTTATGGGGACCTAATTTTCTCAGTCTTTTATCTGGCTTACCTATACATTTTTAAATCAATATGACAATACTAGACTTAAAAGTTGTAATACGTTTAGTAAGTCAGAACATAATGTGACTTGTTTGAGTCAGTTTGCACAACAGTATTTACCTCAATGAAATATTAAAATAATAAATGTTTTGCTCTTAATACATTTAGCTTAAAGTGGATGAGAATATATCTTTTATTAACATAGTCTTATCATGAATAAGTGTCTTGTTTTTCCTTGGAAGATTTGAAGTAATGTCATGGTACTAGTAAATGTATCCAATATTGTATTTTGTAAATCTTTTGATATTCAGAAAATTGTATGATCCATTTTTTCTCACCTGGTTTTTCTTTGTATTTTGAAATAATTGAAAGTGATGAGATAAATATATTATGTTTAGATTCTGGAAAGGAGAAGGTATGATGTCAGATGAGCCCCACTTTTTAAAACTCTTTAATTCGAAACTAGTAATCACCATATTTTTATGGAGATTGATAACAAAGTGGTAGTAATGACTGCTTCAAATCAGAACAAAAATGACCTCTCGAAGTCAAAATGCATTAAAAAGGGGCATAAATCTTATTAGAATATGAAGATATTAAGTCACAATATTTTGTGCAAAAGCTGATCTGTGGAAGTCATTTTATGATAAATTAAAGTCTGACATAAACTGACCTGTACAAGTCATATTCTGTTGAGTGCAAGAAGGGAGACAACACTTACATCAAATTATATCTGACCTATGGAAGTCATTTTATTCTGACTTGTTTATGTCAGAGCTCTGACTGAATAACAAAAAAGATACACAAATTTGATAATTCACTTATAATTCTGTTTATTTTCATACCTTGTTTTATCATTTGATATTTGTCATAGTAACTTTACTCTCTTGATATTAGAACTTTATTTACATATCTTTTCCTTTCAGATTAGGGTTTGTAGATCTAGGATCATTTGTTCTATGGTTTGTGGCTTTCCTGCTTCAGTATATATTTAGTGAGTGGTCAGAGAAAAATGCAGAATTGCTGATGAGTGTTACAAATCTAGTCTTCACTTTTTCTTCCATGGTTGGCAAATATCCGAGAAAACCCATTCAACTTAAAATAGCCAGGTATGATGCAGTATAAACTACAATAAATTTAGAAATTATTGCAAGGTTTTTATTAATGTAAATAATGTTAATAACAGCTGAATAAGGTGTGGTTATAGAGGTGCAAAAATGTTCAGAAAGACCAGGTATATCAATTGCCTGTTTCTGCTTAAATTGTCACACGACTCTGTATATCATATTTTGTCCTTAAATCTATTTTTACTCTTTTTTTTTAATTTTTTGGCTACAATCTTAAAAACTACAATAAATAAAGAGAAACTTGCAAACATTTTCATGATTTTGAGCTTAACAAGCTTTGCCAATAGGTCCACATTGGAGAAATTGTTATTCGTAACTTCTCTTTCGAGTATATGTCTTTAAATGACAAGTTTTACCAATTTTTGTGATTTGACGAAAATAAGATAAGACACAGAATACACAACAAAATTATTATCAAAATAAGATCTACAAATTAGTGAACATGGTAGTATTTGTTATTGCCCTGTAATGACAATGTTTACCCTTTTTTAGCTCACCTTGCCTTAAAAGGGCTATGATTGCTATTCACATCACTTGGCATCCTTTTTATCATTTTTACAGACATGTTCTCTTCTGAAACTACTGGGCCACAACCTTGCTTGGTGTATTTAAATTAAAACGTAGTTGCCAAGACTAATGATAGGATTGATTGATTGATTGTTTAATGCCACTTTCAACACTATTGTTCTATTTCATGGCGGTCAGTTTTTGTTGGTAGAGGAAGCTGGAGTCCCCAGAGAAAACCACCGACCTTCGGTAGGAAAACTGCCAATCCTAGTCAATTAAGATTGGAGTCGAGTGCACTTTGAGTGGGGTTCGAACTCACAACCTCAGTGTTGACTGGCTAGTGATTACAGTAGTTGAACTACTTAGACAACTCGGCCACCAAGGCCCCTACTAATGATAGGACATACAGGTATTGTCTGTAAGCTTGAAAAGCTGTTATAGAGGAGATCCAGGTCATAATCTTGCCTGTGAAATGATGATTTAAGTCGCTCGCCAAAGAATTTTTAAAATCACTAAAACTCACCAGCCGAATGACTACATAGTGAAGTCAAGTCGCTATCAAAATCGGTATAAGGGAGTATAAAGTCGCACTGGTAAACAAAATTGGCGACTGACATGGAAAATCGAGATTTTCAAAACGACCAAGGACTAATACTGTCGATGAGTTATCATCTTACGATGATTTTTGTCATCAGGATTTTGCGTAATCACTCAGCTGATTTGTTTTAAGTATGGGTGATTTTTTGCTATTCATTGATAAAAATTGAAATATAAAAAAGTAAAAAAAAAACAGCTAATGGATAGTTTGATTGCAAACGCTTGGTCAGTTTGTGATCAGCAGTGTGTTTTTTTCCATGACCAACTTGTTAATAAGAGAGATATCTTTTATCATGTTTATTACAGAAATAATAAAAATCAGCTCTTTATCAGTTAATTTATATGTGATTGACAGATATCTTCATTTATAGGTCTAGAACCATTCACGAGAATCTCAAATTACAACTGACATGATGTCCTGGATTTACTAAAATTTAAATTATGACATAAAGAAGTGATATAAAAAAAAAGCCAAGTTATCAGATAAACTGGGAGTCATATTTTTCTGGATTTTAAAAAATAAATTGAGGCAGATGCATATGAGATTAATGCATGATATACTAGCAACAAATTTATTGAAATTTAATTCAAGTTGACAGTGCACATGATATGACTAAATAAATAACATGGCGTTTTACGTTTCCGCAAATTGGCATCTTAAAAACTACAATAAATAAAGAGAAACTTGCAAACATTTTCATGATTTTGAGCTTAACAAGCTTTGCCAATAGGTCCACATTGGAGAAATTGTTATTCGTAACTTCTCTTTCGAGTATATGTCTTTAAATGACAAGTTTTACCAATTTTTGTGATTTGACGAAAATAAGATAAGACACAGAATACACAACAAAATTATTATCAAAATAAGATCTACAAATTAGTGAACATGGTAGTATTTGTTATTGCCCTGTAATGACAATGTTTACCCTTTTTTAGCTCACCTTGCCTTAAAAGGGCTATGATTGCTATTCACATCACTTGGCATCCTTTTTATCATTTTTACAGACATGTTCTCTTCTGAAACTACTGGGCCACAACCTTGCTTGGTGTATTTAAATTAAAACGTAGTTGCCAAGACTAATGATAGGATTGATTGATTGATTGTTTAATGCCACTTTCAACACTATTGTTCTATTTCATGGCGGTCAGTTTTTGTTGGTAGAGGAAGCTGGAGTCCCCAGAGAAAACCACCGACCTTCGGTAGGAAAACTGCCAATCCTAGTCAATTAAGATTGGAGTCGAGTGCACTTTGAGTGGGGTTCGAACTCACAACCTCAGTGTTGACTGGCTAGTGATTACAGTAGTTGAACTACTTAGACAACTCGGCCACCAAGGCCCCTACTAATGATAGGACATACAGGTATTGTCTGTAAGCTTGAAAAGCTGTTATAGAGGAGATCCAGGTCATAATCTTGCCTGTGAAATGATGATTTAAGTCGCTCGCCAAAGAATTTTTAAAATCACTAAAACTCACCAGCCGAATGACTACATAGTGAAGTCAAGTCGCTATCAAAATCGGTATAAGGGAGTATAAAGTCGCACTGGTAAACAAAATTGGCGACTGACATGGAAAATCGAGATTTTCAAAACGACCAAGGACTAATACTGTCGATGAGTTATCATCTTACGATGATTTTTGTCATCAGGATTTTGCGTAATCACTCAGCTGATTTGTTTTAAGTATGGGTGATTTTTTGCTATTCATTGATAAAAATTGAAATATAAAAAAGTAAAAAAAAAACAGCTAATGGATAGTTTGATTGCAAACGCTTGGTCAGTTTGTGATCAGCAGTGTGTTTTTTTCCATGACCAACTTGTTAATAAGAGAGATATCTTTTATCATGTTTATTACAGAAATAATAAAAATCAGCTCTTTATCAGTTAATTTATATGTGATTGACAGATATCTTCATTTATAGGTCTAGAACCATTCACGAGAATCTCAAATTACAACTGACATGATGTCCTGGATTTACTAAAATTTAAATTATGACATAAAGAAGTGATATAAAAAAAAAGCCAAGTTATCAGATAAACTGGGAGTCATATTTTTCTGGATTTTAAAAAATAAATTGAGGCAGATGCATATGAGATTAATGCATGATATACTAGCAACAAATTTATTGAAATTTAATTCAAGTTGACAGTGCACATGATATGACTAAATAAATAACACGGCGTTTTACGTTTCCGCAAATTGGCATTACTTTTCCGGGAAAAAAAGATGACGTTTCTGGAAAAAAAAGTCTACGTTTCCGCAAATAAATATCTTACTTTTCGGGAAAAAAAAGTAACTTTTCTGGAAAAAATAAATTATTACTTTTCCGCAAATAATTAAGGAATACCTGTTGATCGAAAGCAAAGCCATAATAAAAAATAAATATTTATTAAGTTAAAGGTCATCATAATATGCAAGTAAAATTCATCATTAAAATGTATGAAAACGTATGTTCAAAAGTCAGCACTAATCAGATATATCTTGATATGAGTTCATAAGTCAGTTCTGGCAGAATATTTGTAGCCAACACGTCGTTCAAAGTCCACAGTAGTACATTCACCGTTTACAAGTTTTGTATTTTGTTCAAGAAGGAAGTCCATCTTCTCCTTTTCATATTTCCAAACGGGTGCTTTTACAGTTAGAGTTCTTATCTTAATGTATGATGTTTGTTGCAGTTTCAATAACACATTGACAAAGACAAAAATGTTAGGATGGCTAGCGTAAAACTGCTCGTTCAGGTGGGCATGAAAAGACTCGGCACCATTCGTTGTTCTCTTTTCCTCGGGGTCAGGAGGTGATGCCCAAATGGTTGGTGGAAATCTCGAATTGCCATCTATATAAAATTCCAATATATAATCGGCAAACTTCATGCATTTATCATCAGATGGAGCATCGGCTACCAATTCAATAAAGCATTCTTCAATCTTGTCAGTTGGCAAGTAAGCCAAACCAAAGAAATGTGTTAGCCAATTATCAAAATCTGAATCTTTGTCTTTGTAATCAGCACTCAGACCTAACGACTGAATTTTTCGCCACCAACTTTGTCCTAAATGAAATCTGCAACAACTGACTGAAGCAGCAGGAAATGTTTTCGTAACAGCAGTATGCATTGCACATTCAAAGTCAATATGAACTACCTCAGACTGGAGAGTTAATCTTTGGGTAGTGCACACATCAATAAGCAGATCCCACATTTTGATGTAACATTCCTCGGATTTAAGTAAAAGTAACGCAAATACAAGAGGAATGCAGTTACCATTTTTACATCCATGTATCGAATAAAGTTGGTAAAAGAATTTCGGGCACGATTTAAATGTGCCATCTATGAAAATATATGTTTACATATTTATAATTTACCAGGTAAATTTCCGGAAAAGTAATAAATACAAATTTTGGAAACGTATACTTTAAATTTCCGGAAACATAGTATTGGGACTTTGAAAAATTAGCAGAAATGCAATACGCCCAAATAACAACTATATTGTCTAAATGTTTTTTCAGAATTTTCATATAAATAATGTCCTTTAACAATGTTTAAAAACACTGCAAGTATATTTTTTATTGCATATGTAAAACAATTTCCTAAATGATAAGCACGAAAACACAACATAACCGAAATGGTTATGGAATTTCACTTCTCCAAGAAGTTGACCTCTTCTCCCTATTCTCTCATGAAAGGAGAAGTCATTCTCCCTCTCCAAAATCCTAGATTAGGCTTGAAGATCTGTCAAATACAGAATTGTTCAAAATGTCCAGATATACCTACTGTTTAAAGTTGATCAAATTTATATCAGATGACTCTTTTTTGGAATTGTCCAGGCGAAAAAAGGTTTCAGCTATCTTAATTAAACATGGCCTTACGATAAATATGTTTTAAATGTAATACATTTTAATTTACAGATATCCATTTAAAAGAATGTATACCAAACAACGTGCAGGACATTACAAACCAGAAATTGATACCTTTGCATTTGGAACCCCAATTAACATGATTAAAAATGGAAGAAATGGTGGTTAGTACTAAACGTGTATATTTAAATTTATTGTCTGTGATTTTTATTAAAAGTGGAATTTTTAAACCATTATTTGTATAAGTTTAAATGTATGCAGATATGGTCAGATTGTCAATGAGACATTTATCCAAAGGACAAAGATGTGAAGCAATACTGGTCACTGTATGGCCTTCATAATGAGCAAACACCATAGCAAATTTATAGCAAGTATAAAGGGCACCTGTATGACAAAATGTGAAAAAAATCAAGAGGAAAAAACTTTGAACTGCCTGATTTATGGTATAACAATGAATGAAAAACAAATATGGCAGTCAGCAACCAAGGACAACCACTTGATTGCAGGCCCCTTGCTTTGGATAATATGTATGCATATCATTAGGAAGTAGGATCAGTGAATAGACTTATAATACTGAAATATTCTGAATTTAATATTAATCTGAAAAAGTCTGAATATTCAATTTCTTACCATGTGTACAAGGAGACTGAAAATCCTGGTTATTTTATCTGTATGACCATGCTATAATATTATATGTTTGTTCTGATCTATCTTTGACCTTGGTTAATTAATTATGCAGATAGTTATCAGTGTTCCAGCTAGGATTTGAAAATAGAGGGGCGCGTTTTTAAAAAAGGGCACTTTAGTGCGTTCTCACTGAAAAAAATCAAATACTTAATATTACCACATAATGACATATTTTTAGCAAGCATGTAGCTATGTTAAATACTCTATACTATTATATACAAGTTTAAAAATCATTTATTTAGAACATATAAGTTAAAATCAAACTGAGAGCACTAATAGTCATTACTATATTCATTTCTCTTTCAGAACTACAGATTTTTTCAAAAGAAGAGTTCAAATGCAAATAAATATTAAACAACATTGACAAATATTCTGTTTTTCTCTTTGAAGAAGATTGTCACACATTGATCAAGAATTTTTTCAAATTTAGTTTCATCACAGTTTAATTTTACAGTTAATATTTTTGTTAATGTCTGAGTTTTCAAGTTTGCCCTGTGACTTGTCTTTATCAATTTGACCTGAGAGAATATTCTCTCCACCTCTGCTGTACTGAGTGGTTGTATTATTACAACACTGAATAGTTTTGCAACAAGAGGGTACATAGATAATAGGTTTTTATCCTTATGACAAGGTGAATGAAATAGCTCTAGCAGACTAGGTAAGGAACGATCTGTAAGTTCTGCTGATGACACCAGAGCTATAAAGTCCTGCCATTGAATAAGGAGAGTTTCAGGGTCCATGTCAAATGTATTTGCCAGAGCTTCTATCTCTGTATAACCATACATTATTTCAATGTTGTCTGTTCCTGTAAGGTCTGAAATGGCCAACTGATCGATTGTGTCAGCCTCCTTAACTAACTTATATATTTCCAATTAATCCATTGAGAAAGCACGCTCTGACTTTAGTGTCAAAATCTACTGTATATTTCATGTTGAGCGTATCTAATAATATCAATAAGTTTGTCAAAACGGATTTCAATAAGAAAATTGATACAAAAATCGGACTTTCGAGAGCTCCGTAATCGGCACAATAATAAATTAATTCAACTTTGAAAGTTTATTATCAATTCAACAAGCATCTCCGTATATTTCATGTTGAGCGTATCTAATAATATCAATATTAAAATTAGTCAATATGGATTTCAATTCAAGAAAAATTATATAAAAATCGGACTTTCGAGTGCTCCGTAATCGGCGGAATTTACAATAGAAGAACAATTGCGATATCTGATAGAAACCTTAATTTCTTCTTCTCGATTTTTCATAAAAGTAAAGAATTAAATTATTTTTTTACCGTTGATGGTCATTATTCTTGAAAAAAAGATGTAATAGACTGGCAAGTCTTTGATATGTTCTTCTTGTCATTTTCGAGTTGGTCAATTTTTCTTTTTTTCGTCAGCATTTTGTGTGTTGACGATTTACAATATCCTATTGGAATGATTCTTTTTTAATGAACGTTATTTTATAAATAACAAATACAATAGAAATGAACATCGTTCACATTTATTTTATAAATTCTATTTTGCATCGTCAGGTGTTAAAAAATCAATTCATTTAACTTGGCTGATTTGGTGCTTCAGGGCAAAGGGATTAGACAGGGTCGTAAATTTCACCTGATTAAGTAATTGACTCTAATCAAATAGGTGATTATATACAGGTAACAAGTGTCAACAATTTTAATCTGTTGTCTTAATGAAGTGTGTGTATAAAGAACTCAACAAAATGGCGACGATATGAGGAAAAAAGATCGTTTTTAAACTTTTTTCAAAAGGGCACAGAGGGGCGCATTAGAAGGGCTGAAGGGCGCTTAAAAAAGGCAGAGGGGCGCAAAATTTCGGGGGCGGGGCGCGGCGCCCCTCCATTTCATGCTAGCTGGAACATCGGTTATTGTCAAATAGTTTTTGACATAGACCTGTTTTTACACACAATATGATTGTGTATGTTGATATGCATAAGTTGACATGTTTTTGATAGTCAAAACACTAAGTTAATACTGTAAATTGAGAAATTTTTGCATTCATTTATTATTGCAATTTTTGGACAATTGAAGAAATGATGCATACAATTAATGCTATCAAATTTAAATACATGTACAAGCTTTATTTTTTAAGAAATTTATTCAGTGGCAATTTTCCTGTAAAAAGGATTTTCTAGGTTTTAGCACATGTAAATGTGAATAACACTTCATAAAGTTGATTCGTCTTAAGCATTTCCTGGATTAACCTTCATCAGGAAATCTCAAACACAGACATTTGAAAGCTATGTAGAGAACTAATGAATTAAAAGAACCCAAATTCATCCTAAGTCACCTTTTCCTGAGGTTGTTGGAACCTTATTTCTTAACACTTACTTAATTTTAAACAGGGATTTTTTAGAAAAGTATGTTATAAATTATGTCTGTTCTGAATCTTTTGACTATTGTGTTATGTACTTTAGTAAAACACAAGTCAAACAAATATTCTATTGTCTTTCAGGATTGTTTGATTCAAGATTTGTTAGTCCTGAGATTAGTCCTAAGATATCATTAAAGAAAACATCACAAAGACCATTGATATCTCCTGCAAAATTTCAGAAAAAGGTAACTAGTGACTTGTTATCTGTGATTGGTTGACTTGAATCTTGAAGACTGTTGAAGAAGGTCCAATATAAAGATAAGGAGATGTGGTTGCCAATGAGACAACTATCCACCAAAGTTCAAATGAAGTGGATACATTTGACCTTTAATTTCAGATGCATGAAAATATAGTTGCATCTATGGACATTGTATTTCTTTTATGCATTCCCAATTTATTTATGTTTTCATTAATGAAGTAGCAAGTAGGGAAATGAAATTACAATGAATAATTGGATGTGAATTTTATGATTTAGAAGATAATTGGTCAAGTTGATAAATGTAACATATAAATATAGCAGAACCTGTGTAACTGAATTAAAGACCCATAAATAAACTTGTCTATATTTCTAGTAAAAAATTTCCCAACAGTAGTACTAAGATCTGTATGTACATGTTGCTACATCTATACTACTAAAATAACGAGGTCCAATTTGTTAGCCAGCATGGTGTAAAAACGACAAATCAAAGAATTCAACTTTATATATAACTATATAACTAATATAGGACAATGGTGTTGATTAAAAATTACACCATCCAAGGCCCTTTTGCTTTCCACATAATTAATATTACCAATAACAAGTTCAGGGTCGAATAGGATACTGATACAAGTAGTACCTGTTACCTTTTGCCTCTGTCAGGGGCACACCAAAGTGTGTATTTGGGATTTGCTATATACACAGGTCATAATCACACCTGAACTTTGTCATTTTACAGGGATTGACACTACTAAAGTCAATCATTGACCACAAAAATATATCTACAAGTAGTTTTCTGTTCATGTAGTAAGAAAACCAGGACAGATTCAAACAGAAAGATTCTGAAAGCATAGAAAACTGTGCACCTTATAATCAGCATGACTTTATAAAATGACAATAAGAATACTAAAAATCCAGGCTGAAAATAAGGCGTACATACTTTAATTTAGTCATGGACCCGCGATGTCGCTGGTGTGTTCTAGTATAATATAAAAATAATAAGATGTGGTATGATTGCCAATGAGACAACTCTCCACCAGAGACAAAATGATGTAGAAGTTAACAACTACAGGTCACCATACAGCCTTCAACAATGAGAAAAACACATACTGCATGGTAAGCTATAAAAGGCCCTGAAAAGATAAATGTAAAACAATTCAAACAAGAAAACTAACGGCCTGATTGGTGTACAAAACAATAAACAAAAAACAAATATTTTATACACCAGCAATGACAACCACTGTATTATAGGCTCCTGACTTGGGAGTCGTTATGGAATAAAGGGGGATGTATTGAGAAAGGGAAGGCATCCTTATGAAGGAAAGGGTTAAGATTGAAATTGACATAGTTCAGTGAAATAAGTTCATATCAGAAATTTCTCTAATGTTGGTAGAAGTTTACAGTTCTCGGACATTACTTTGCATCTACAGATGTTTTTATTATTTTTTAGCTGTCAATGAAAATAGATAATGATAATAGAGTTTCTGAACACGCTGAAGGAGAGGAGTAGAAAGTATATGCTGCATGACATGTTGATGTGTAGGAGTAAAGGTTATACACATGTTACACATGACAATATCTAAAATGACAAGTCACCCTGGATATGTGCATGAAGTATTTGCCATTGGACTTTTATCAAACCACAACTTATATGGCACCGGATTGATTTGGTCCTGTATATCAAAACATTTTAACTGTAACAGGAGAACATGCATACAAATGAAGATAATTGATATCCCAGAGTTTCTGATTGAGAGCACTGCACAGAAAAATAAGATGTAAAACATTATAGTTTACTGAAGTTTATATTATACATTTGTGACACATGACAATATCTAAATGATACCGTATCCTGATAATGCATGAAGTATTTTCCACTGGACTGTTATAAATTCACAATCAATATGATGGCATTGGATTGATTTGGCCCTTTATTTCATACATCTTAACTGTAACATGATCTTCCTAAAACAAATGCTTCAATTATGATATTATGTGGAATTATATATTTGACGTAGACGATACAGTCGGATCATGGTTAATATTTCAGCAACGATAAAAACATTAAAAGAATTTATTTACTGACAGTTAGTAGTTTATTGTAAAATTCAGTTTGTTATATTGTAATTTAAAAATTTGAAAGAGATGCTCAAATTGTAAACTATCAGCAACTTAGACTTATCTCATATTTGTCCTTTGTCTTTTTGTTTTAAATGCAGCAATCTTGTAAAGTTTATTTATGATGTATTTTGTTAATACTATTTAAAATTTTGTACAGTATTAAAAGTGTTTTTTACATTTTTGTTATTATAACCCTCCCTTGACCTGTTTTTTGGTGGTAATAAGCATTGTGTTTAAGTTTTATAACATTTGGTTGAGGCAAAGTTAAAGTGTAGAAACGTCAAATTCAGCAATTTTTCCATTTATAAAGTGAAATAACTCAAGAACGGCGAACGTGACGCCACCTCAATTGGAACTTGAACTGTATTTGGTGGTAATAAGCATTGTGTATAAGTTTTATAACAAAATACTTAATGTCTGTAAAAATGTTATTCAGAATCCATGGTGACTGTCCAAAATGTGAGATTAATTATGGGAATAAAGATTATATTTTAATAGAACATAGTACACACGCTGAAATGTCTCGCCAGCTTTACTTATCTTGATTGAACTTATATTGGAAGTATGAAATATACTATATTACTAAAAGTATAAAAAACTTAACATAACTAATGAGCCATGTAAATGAGGTCAAGGTCAGAAAAACCCTACCAATCAGACATGTTCATCTTACAATCATGCCATACACCAAATACAACTGATCTATGGCTCATAGTATCCCAGAAACAGAACAAACCACTAATACTCAACATTGACCAATGAACTATGAAAATTAGTTTAAGGTCAGATGAAACCTGCCAGTCTGACATGTACACCTTAATCATACCATACATCAAATATAATTGACCTATCGGTTATAGAATCTGAGATACGGACTTGGCCACACAAAATTAAATTTGATCAATGATCTATTAGGGTTCGGCTTCAAGGATATATGAGTCGTGTTGAAATCACTGTGTTAGTCCATCAGTTATCATTTAATTTTCTGAACTTTTATGAATAAAGACAATGAGATGAGTGTTGGTATGTAGTTCATAAGGTCTCCCCTTCAATATATATTTTAAGAATCATTGACTGTTTAAATATTATTTCAGAGAAATTCTTTTTAGCCAAATAGGCAAAGATATGGATGTGAACAGTGTGTCGTTTACATGTGGTTACTGATTCAACACTGAATGAATTTGTTCACAATGTTTTCCTTTTGCATTGGTTTGGTCACAAAAATCAGATATATACTGTAAATTCAGAAATTATTCCATGCATTTATTATTGCAATTTTTGAAGAATGGACAAACATGCAAGATTATTTTATTGTGATTTCAGGAAAAATTTCATATGGATATATGTAGCAGATATCAGAATGTGAGTTCTTATTATTGCGCATTATTCGCATTAATAAAAACCTTGCAATGATTTCTGAATTAACAGTAATTATTTCATAAAACCAAAAATTTCAAGATAACTTGAGTTTTAAATTTGACAATTGGATCAATTATGGCGATTTGTTTGAATTATCCACCTTGGTCATATAAAAATCAACACTTCTGGTGACTGTTATATGTGACTTCCCCTTGTTAAATCATTTATGCTTTTTAAAAATAATTATACTTCAATGTACAGATTGATATTCAAATTTTTTGGATTTGTTGACAAAAATTGCAAGCTATGACATTTTTCAACAGAATCATGGAAAGGAACCAGATTTTTTTCCCTAAAAGTTATTAATTCTATTGTGAACTTTGGTATGCTTTGTTCTGTATTTTACATTATAAAAAGAACAGGAAATATAGAAACATTTGTAATGTATCAAGATAAGAAGAATGCTTAATTTGAAAAAAATAGATATTTAAGATTTTTGAAAATGAATTTTTACTGGATTATCTCCCTTTGAACCATAGAAAACAATATCTATGTCATCAAATATTGCTGAGACTATCTGTAACAGTTATAGTAATCTCAGGATATTGTTATTGTACTATTTTCCTAAATACTTTTGATTATCCTAGCTTGTTAAATATTATGCTTTTGGAAAAATTACTTTCATTTCCAAAATCATCTACAGATTGATATTCAAAATTCATTGATTACTAGAGAGAAATTGTCATTTACCTGTAAGCACTTTCTTGTAAATTTTTATAACTAAAATTTCAATGAATGTCAATTCAATAAATAATCTACCATTATCTCATTGTTTTCCTCATCGATAAATTTCAGGGTGCATAAATTGCTCAATTTCATTGTAAAATACTACTTTTAACATGGGCAAACTGATTCCAGTGGTACATTATAGCATCATCTAACAAACAGGGATGGGAACCGGGTGAAATGTTTTTTCTGTAGACGTCTTTCACAATGCTTTCATAGCAGACTGCGTTTCAAACAATTCTGATGGACCTTTGCCTTATAGATGTGAAAAAAATTGCATATTTTCTAAGATAAATTCACCTTACACAGGAGATGAAAGAAAATTTGCCAAATTTTATGGAGACTGTAAATCAACTATTCTAAATGATTTGGTAAAACTTCACTCAAGACATGCTTGAATATAGTGTGTAACATATTGATGCTGGATTTTCTATTGTTCCAGCCCCTGAGCTCTCTGCACTTTTTGAAATATCTAGTAAACACACATGACATGAAAAAAAAACATCTTCACATATTCTAAATTGTAGATCAAGAATATTTTTGAATTTATGATATTAGACAGAATCAAAATACAGGTATAAACCATGAAAATACGCTGTTAGTTTTTTATTTGTTTTGTTGTTTGTACATTAACATACCATTTTAGCACTTGGCGAAAGTTGGTAAGTACGAACACTTAAATCTACCTGGAATCTAAAATTGAACAACACTATCTCCACCAAAAAATTAAATCAGAGGTAAATTAAGGTGCTCTAG